TCCCAACAGCTAAGTCACTGATGTGACTGTTACCGAAGATAGGACATTTCCTGATGAAGCAGATGAACCCCACGTGAAGCAGAAGCCAACAAGACGGAGACCAGTACGGAAGATACGTCCCGTAAAATTAAGAGACTTTATTGAATTGTAATTTTGTGTTTGTAATTCTGTACATTTAATTAAGTTATTGTTAATTGTTATTGGTTTATTGTAAGTGGTTATTGTTCGGGACGAACAATACTAAGGAGGGGACAGTGTTGCGTCAGCGAGGTCACGTGACTCGTTCTCTCGAACCTTCGGGAATTGTCGGGAGATTACTAGATATAGGGTAGGCTGGTGTATTTAAGAGGGTGACAACGTGACGTGACAACAATGTGTCTGTAGGTAGTGAGTAATTGATCTGCAGTGAGAAAGTATTGTTGAAGTTAACGTTCGACATTCGCGTTTGTTTTAGCGCGAATGTTGAAATCAAGTGTATCGTGAAGTTATATTCAGAAAGAATAAACCAGTTTTATTAAGTAATGACTTGTGTCGCTAAAGTTTCGTCGGAACGAAGTTACGGAAAGTTAATTAACAAACGGAGACGTAACAATACGAAGATATAATCGGTAGTTTAAAAAAAAAGGTTATCCAAACATTAATTAGTTATATGAGAAAAGTAAAACGGAAAACTGTAAGCTTACCATCCTCATTTATGTGTTAAGAAACTGGCTTAGAATGAAGAAGAGTGGTAAAAAAACAAAAACAATGTTGTTAGGCCTAACACGGATTAGGCGTGGTAACAAGAGAGTATTTCTTTATTTAACAACTGCGTCATGAACAATCGTCAAATGACAACCACACGCGAATAGTTCTGTTCACTTTGGGCGGAATGCCAATTATTAGAAAGAAAGAATGAAGGTGTAACCTCTTGTATATCCTGTGTGTAAGATTTAGGTCATATTTATACAAAAAGTAATATTTACGTATCATGCTGTCAAAACTGCAGTGGGTAACGTGTTAAACACTGTTTAAGTTTATTAACTAAACTGCTAAATAAAAACCACATCCATTGTTCGATTGGAGTTCAACCAAATATCATCATAACAGTAAAAGTTTTCTTAGTTTTCAATTGAGTTGCCGCAGAGCTCTCTCTAGTGGTGTTAAACCGCAGAACAAATATTTATGAAACAAGCCGTAAGAATAAATTAATGACAAATTTCAAACAGGTTTATATGAAACTACTTAAAAAATCGCTGTTGTCATAGAGGTAATTTCAAACATTTTTCAGTGAAATAATTTCTAACTTTTTTCTTTTCCTCTTAGTCGGGGAGTCCATAGGGCAATTAAGACCCCCCCCAAAAAAAAATCCTTTATTAAAGACATTCAATTAGGCTATACATTAATATGGTTTTATTTAGCTTCACAAAACAAACAAAAACGTCAACAGAGGAAAAAAAGATCTTTTACAATACAGCAAGTTCAGTTTTACAGCTGTTTTACTGAAATTACAAGCAATATAACAAAATTGTATGTTTCTCATGGGATGTCCATAGTTTAGTTCTTTAATGACCTATTGAACCTGGTGCAGAGACTAACTTCATTTACCAAACGAACTTACTCTACACTGAAACCATACGTGGTGTGTAGTGAGTACCGGTACTCAAATTTGAGTTCAGATTAAGGTGAACCGTGATATAAGTGAGACGGTTACAGTTGAGGGAATCATACTTATAACGATAACTTCAATTATGTGTAAGATGCGTAAACTTAACTAGCACTAAACATACCCATTTGACAAAACAAACAAAGCAGTTGAAATTTCCAATGTGTTATTTTACGGGCTGCCTTCACTTACTCTCTTGCAGTGAATTTCCCGTGTTTCTTCGAATATGACTGTCGCAATGTCAGCTTAAAACAACATATGCCGTTTTATTTACTGTGTTGCGTCAGCAGAGGAGACGTAACAACTGGCTAAACCTTACCATTTTGCCACAAAAATGCATTATCAAAACCACTTGTTTGCCTTACACTCACTTTTATAACAAGACGAATAATCCGTCCTAAGTGTTTGGGTATAAAACCCAGGGGGGAGGGGTATTCTTGCACAATGCCCTTTCTACAACACTTTGTTTTATCAAAAGTAAAAGTTCGATATCTTTCGAGATTAAAAAAAAATACTTGCTCCACCCACTTCACTGCTGCCAGACCAGGACCAGACGTTCAATTTAAGATGGCCACACCCAATTTACCCTCCCAATTATTGAGGCATCATAGTCTTGGTTGGCAGACATGATACATACTAGTTTTAATCAAATAAGAAGGGGGAAAAAATAAAGGTGTAATACTTTATAAACTGGAGATAATAAGAAGTCCTGTTCGGCTAGATCATACATGTCTAATAAAAACAGAAGTTTTTTTATTATTTGTTTTTAAGCCAATTTTGGTTTTTAAACCTGAAGGGAAAAGCAACTACGTATTAAACACAACTTGGAGCACAAATACAACGTTTCCTATCTCACTCATAAACAACACACACTTTAATCTATCAATTATTTCATTAAAATATTTAGGTAAGTACTTTTTAATACAAACAAAGTTAAATATAAAACATATAACTTGGCATCTTCGTCAAGCGGTAGGAAGATTTTTCAAAAAGATGCAATAAAGACGTTGTTTCGCGCTTCACGATAGAGGATTCCACACTTACCGGCAATCGTTGAAACTACATAAAAACAGCACGGTGTAGTGTATAATGTTACAAAAATTCCAAGTGTATATGTTGTGCAGGAGAGAACTTGTGACTCAATGGACGCCTGTTATGTTTACAGCTTTGGAAAGAAGATATTGTGGCCACTCATTTACGATTAGTAATAACTTACGATCAAAGCAAA